TTGTTTCTAGTTGCTATTACCTCTGCTCGTAGGGCCAGTGAGTTGGCTGCCCTCCGGGCTGATCAACCCTTTCTTCAATTCTTTCCGGATAAAGTTGTTCTGCACACGGATATTTCTTTCTTACCCAAAGTTGTCTCTGCTTTTCATCTCAACCAACCACTTGTACTACCTACACTGTTTGCTTCTCCTACTTCAGACATAGAACGCATGCTCCACACGCTGGATGTCAAAAGGGCCCTTGCCTTTTATGTTTCCAGGACCAAGGACTTTCGTTCTTCTTCCAGGCTTTTTCTCTGCTATTTTGGACACAAGAAGGGACTTCCAGCTTCCCCGTCGTCACTATCTCGGTGGCTTGTGTCTACAATCTCTTTAGCATACCAGCTTCATCACTTGACACCTCCTGATCACCTACGTGCTCACTCCACAAGGGCTGTTGCGTCATCTACTGCTCTTCTTCATGGCATTGATCTTCCCGATATTTGCCGCACGGCCACCTGGTCTCAGCCGTCTACTTTTGTTACACACTACCGGCTGGACATGAGAGCAAAGAAGGAGACCAGGTTTGGGAGAGCTGTGTTGGCTTCCGCCCTACAGTGACGGCCCTCCTGCCGGTGAGTTAGCTTGCTAGTCACCCTTTATGTGTGTATTCACAGAAGACCACGATGAAGAAAGTGGGGTTACTTACCTGTAACCAGGGTTCTTCAAGTGGTCATTCTGTGAATTCACACATGCCCGCTCAGCCTCCCCACTTCCGTCACTGTTTATTAGAGAATTCACTCTATTTGTGGCGGATAAATGGAACTGAGGCTTGGGCGGGCGGAGCATGCGCAGTGTAGGTAATGTTTAACTATGTTTCCTTTGCAGAGCTCTAGAAGATTCCGAAAGGGGCCGACGCTGGCGCTGACTTAACCCTTTATGTGTGAATTCATAGAATGACCACTTGAGGAACCTTGGTTACAGGTAAGTAACCCTTCTTTTCCCTACTTGGTTCCTGGGTTGCAGTGGTCAAATTACAGTGGTGCCCCGCATAGCGAAATGCTTGTGCTACTTTTCGTGGAACCGTGATGTACAGAAATGCCACATTAGTTGACAGTAGATAGTCCCCATTGGGGTGGGGGTGGGGGCAAAGATATTCTTATTGCAACTGGGAAATAAACCACAATTTGATCCTGTCAAAGCCTTTTAAAAATAAGCTTGTGCATGAGGGTTAAAAAGAAAATTCAAAATAGACGAAATTCTAACATAGCATATCTTGCTCTGCTCTTTGAGCGGAAGGGAAAACAGAGAAAATAGTAGGCCCACAAACATTTTTGCTGTCGGCCTTCTTGGTCTCTTCCATGACCACCAGCTTAAAAGTTTTTTTTAACTCTCACACTGTGTCCACCTGAATATTTCAACGCATTCTAGATCTTGGGTATTTGTCTTTGGGTGTGTCTACACAAGGAAATCATCCTCACTTAGACTGGGTTAAAGGAGGCTCAGAAGACTTACTTGGAAGTGCACGATGGCTATGGCGTTCCGGTAGATTCTTCCGTTTAAATGCAGACATGTGCTTTTCCAAGTTCACGTTCAGGATGAGAAACCACACAGCACCTCAGATTGCTCCAGTTTTTAAAAGTACAAAAGTTATGTTCTTGCGAAAAGCTGTGAGAAGGAAACAATGTCTGTTTTTATCCTGTTTTTATTTCTTTGGAAAAGGGATAGGGCTGAATTGGATAATAACAGAAATAAAAACTGTTGGGAAGAGATACAAAAGGGAATGTTTTGGGGCAGAGGCAACAGGAAAAGAGGGACACACATTACTGTACACAGCACCCCTCCTTTGGATTTAAGGAGGGATCAGGTTGGCCGGCAGTTGGGTTTTACATCATGTGGTCACCTAAAAATAGATCACACTTCACTGCGCTATCTGTGGACCAAAACAAGGGATCAGTTGTGATGTTGTCACCCTCTTGGGTAGTGTGGATTAGTTACTAGACACAAGTTTTTTTCTTTCCCACAAAAAGAAACCACAGAGGCCTTCTCTGTCCCTCTTCTTCTGTCTAGTCAAGGCAGTTTTGTTCTGGAAGGCAATGGAGGTGGGGGTGCTTTGGTTTGGTTTTTTGTTTTAATCTGCTGAACATTCAGGGTTTTTTTAAATGGAGTTTTTTTTTCTTTGTTATGTAGTAGTATTATTTTCAGAAGTACTAGTTTTTGCTTTACAAGCTGTACTTCTGGCCTCAGTTCAGTCATTTTACCTACTGGAGAGAGTTAAGACTTGATTTGATCTAGAACCCTCCTTCTATAAAAGCCCTTAGTCTCCTTAAAGCATTGCGTTTCACGAGGACTGAATACTTAATCAGCCTTTTCTCTTGTTGAATTAATCTTTCATTTGAATCTATCCTTCCCCACCTGCTCGGAGTGGGTTTAGATCAATCCTCCGAGTTCCCTTCGCTGGCTAAGGTCAGAAGCAGACAGCTAGAGACAGCTAGTGATGCGAAAAGGGAAATCCTTAACTAATGAAGGTGTCTAAGTTTCACAGCTGGAGCTTCTCTCATCTCAGGAGTCTGAAAATTAAGCTTGCTTTGTTTCATGATTAAGTCCAGAAGGCCATGCGCTGGATTTTTCTGATTTTACAAACCTGGAAAAACTGCTTTAATAACCTCTCTGCAATGTTAGTATGTTTTCAGGTCTAATTATAGGCTGTCTGCCTGTTTCTGACAGAAGCCTATTTTCAAGTCCCTGAAACCTGTTACTGGGCCCTTGTGCTACAAACTATGGAAGATTTTATATCTTTTGACCACCATTAAATACTTCTTTGAGTATAAGCATCACTTTAGCAAACGTACATATGTGTGTGTGTGCGTGCGCGTGTGTGCGCGCGTATGCGTGTGTGTATGTTTGTGTGTGTGTGTGTAAGAGAGTTGGCAGTAATGTAGAAATTAGTCATTAGAATTTTCAGTGAATCTTATGATCTGAACATATTCAAAATGAGCCTTTCAAACAGTTGTTGTCTCTATGGGTCATCAAGTCATTTCTGACAGAAGGCTTGTTCAGATTGAGATTTGTCCCGCTATTTGGTGCCTTGTGGGAGTGGATTGGTTTGCTTTTTTTTTCCGGTGACCTTGCGACGTACTCACTAGAGCAGACCAGTTTGCTCGCAGGGCATCCAAACCCACACCTTTTTGGGGCCCTTGTCATGGGCTTCTTCCTTTGTGACGTACTGTACTCACTAGAGCAGACCAGTTTGCCCACAGGGCATCCAAACCCACACCTTTTGGGGCCCTTGTCATGGGCTTCTTCCTTCCCCCACCCGCTTCCTCCCCCCTTTTTTCTTTTTGGTTTGGGTTGGTACGCTGTAGCTTAATCCATTTCCAGTGCATGTGATTGCTGCGAGCGGAATAAAATTGCGTCTTGCAATTGTCAAACCTGTCAAGGCTCCTTCCGGTTGGAATTTCCGGCTTGGTGAAGTGGCTTAATAAATGGACTGCTTCAAGATACCAGCAAATCGAACACTTCCCCTCTCCTCTTCTTGTGTTCAGAAGACAAATAAAAGCATGGCTTTTCAGCCAGGCCCTTGACAACCTTCTTGTTCTTGTTCTTCTTCTTTTAATTTACAATATTTTACCCTACCTTTTTCCTTAAAAGGACACAAGGTGGCTTACAACAATTAAAAGAAAATATTTAAAAGTTAAAAACACTTGTATACAAATATTGAAATTTAACAAGTATTATATTAAAATTGGTAAATAAAATCAATACTAAAAACGCATTTAAAAACAACAGAACACAAGAGTCCATTAAAAAAAACTCTCAGGACACCAGTCGCTAAGGAAAAGCCTGCCTAAAGAAAAAGTCTTTGCCTGCTTGCTATTCCTATTTAGTTTTCTGATAGTTTGATTTTTATTGTTTAAAAATAGTCATCGCCATCTTGGGATTTGGGTTTGTGTGTTTGTGACACAAGAAGTTTATAGAGGTGGGTTTTCTTTTCCTTTTGATGTTTTCCTTTATGTACTCTTTCGGTTTAAGCCACATAGATTAGTGGCCTGCCACTAAATGGGCAGGGTAATGGTTTAATAACGAACGTGATTGATTGATTGATTGATTTGCATCTGCTGTCCATTGCTGATGTACTGAATCACTGAGATTTTTTAAAGAAGTTTTTTGCCTTTGTGTGAAGTGCTGATTGAAACCGTGACTGCAGGCAGTTTCTGGATTGGCACTACGCACAAGCCAAAGGGGGGGGAAAACATTTTAAAGATTTAATCTAAGCGATTCCATGGATCAGCAGTGGTCTAGCACAGACAAAAATAAGAATTTTGCTTCTCCTGCCTGCTCTGTAGAGGAGCAGGGGAAGTGTTCGACTGACAGAGAAAGGAACTGGAGGGTCGCTTGAGGTTGATATATCGTTTGGATGCAAGGATCATGGCAAATAGCTCCTTCTCCTGATCTCAAGTGACCCTATTTAGACTGCACCAGCCTACACCAAAAAGGCCGGTGCAGTTGAACTCTTAGAGTGACTGAAATAAGGTTTTCAAGGTATGTGAAACATTCAAGGAGTCGTTTACTATTGCCACTTTCCCAAGTAGGTTTCTGTGGTCAAGCAGGGATTTGAACCCAGGTCTCTTGCAGCCTATTCACTATAGGCATTGTATCCATGGAAAGTAATAGTCGTCCTTTGTAGAGGCTAATCCTCTGAATCATGGACAACACAGCCTTCATTATAATCTTGAAGGTGGTTACAGTCATGGGCTAAACACAGGGATGAATATAGGTCGTAACCAGTGCAGTGCAGCGCAGCCAGAGTGGGGGAGATGTGCTAATATTTTCTCACCGCACTAATAAGCTAATCCTCTGAATCATGGACAACACAGCCTTCATTATAATCTTGAAGGTGGTTACAGTCATGGGCTAAACACAGGGATGAATATAGGTAGATGTAGCTAAACATTGTTAGACACTATTGCAATTGGGCATGAAAGGTCTTGCTGTATATTGGGATTGATGTGAATGCTGAATTTGCAGGTGAATACTGAAGTCAGCATCAGAAGCTGGGTTGTTGTTGTTGCTTTTAATGTATGGGTCTGTTTCACACGTGTATATTTGCATATATGGTAGTGACAGATTTACTGCCCCTCGTCAGGTTCCTAGAGAGGTCATCATGCACCCCCTAGATATTTGAGTATATAGTTCAGTGCTAGCGCTTGCTTGCTTGTATCCCTGCTCTGTTCTTTTTGCACCTCAGCCATTCCCAGAGAGATCTCTGCATTTTTATTTTTTATTTTTTTGATCAAAACATCAGCCAGCTCCCTGGAATAATCAGTCAGCTTTCTCCTTTGCAAATGGGATGGCTAGCCATAACAGTACTGTTAGCTGGATGCATAATTTGCCCTGAATTTGAGACCGATCTCAGTATTTTGTACATGATCCCTCTTGTGTTGTTGGCCATATTTTCTCTATGCAGCAGCTTTAGATTTAAGCACTAGACTGGTTACCATAGGTGACCATGAATCACAGGCGCACAAGAACATAGAATGGCGTGCAGGTGAGTGGGTGGGGGTGTCAGAGCAGGAGAGGAAGGCCAGCATCAAACCCTTGTGGACTCCCATCGCCATTTCCTCCTGTGTGCCCAGCAGGAAAACACAGCTGTTCTGTTTTGCCTCAGCCAGCCCCAGCAAAAAAAAGATATTGCAGCCTTCTTTATAATAAAGCTGCTTTTCAATATTTCCTTTTTGAAACGGATTTTGGTTGGTTGTTAGTCTTAAGTGATGATGAGATGGAGGTTTTTTTGACTTGTGTCATTTGACTGAAATATGCTCTTCTCCCCACTCCCTGCTTTACCATTGCTTGCTTTAAAGGAAAAAGTCTACATGATTGCAGCAGGAGCGATCGGGGGCATATACCTTGTTGGCTTTGTGGCTCTTTTCTTTGGCGTGAAAGAAAAAGTTGGTGAGTGGGTTGGAAATTTTTAGAAACATTCCTATACATCTTACTTCCTGCTTTCAAAATACGACATCATAGATCCGCCCTGCTCTCTACAGATGCTTATGCCTTAAACACAGACAGAAGGGTTCCCTTCTTTAAGGGACACTTGCTTGCAGTGAAGCATCAGCCCTACATGAAACTGACAGCCTCCTTTCTCTTGATCTCAACAGCAGTCCAGGTAAGTCCTGCGTGAAAGAGAACTTGTACCACCTGAGCTTGTCTGAAAGATGCGTTAGGTGCGATATGAAAACAGGGTCGCTTTTCTCAGCAGTCCAGCAATTCCTTGTTCTGGAGCACAGCTGCGAGACAGGACCTGAGTTCAGATTGCTGAGGAATTAGAGATGATGTGCGTGGGGGGGGGCAGGGGGAGGTATGCTAGTGCCCTCTGTGAGTGCACTACCCACAAAGTTCCTCAAAGGAGGGAGAGGAAGCAACAAGCACACCACAGCTAGGATTTATTTCAGATGGATGGGGGAAAAAGAGGGGGAAGCAAAAGGAACAACTCAGGTACAGTATGTATGCAGTTTAAGGTTTCCAAGCAACAGCTATGGTTCTTAGCCTTTTAATCCCACTACAGGCCTTCCGGCATGCACTCTTATTGTTAAAGGCTCCACCCACCCACCCCCAAGCCACTAGTTTAAAAGCAGAATAAACCGCATTCCAGAGTTGCAGATGTTCAGATACATTATAATATGTAGTATGTGTAGTAGTGTATTTTTTTAAAATTTTTCTTTTTATTATCTAAACCCATCCATACGGATAACATCGTGCCACCAGGGTACAGTTTATAATCATTTGTAAAACAACTACTACACACATTATGCTCCTAATCTATACATCCTTCTAACCATTGATAGAATAAGTCCCATGTTTGGTAATATTTTGTATCTTCTTTTCCTTTGATTTTCAATGTTAGTCTGTCCATTTCGGCGCAGTCCAATATCTTTTTAATTATTTGGATAACATTGAGCCACCAGGGTACAGTTTATAATCATTTGTAAAACAACTACTACACACATTATGCTCCTAATCTATACATCCTTCTAACCATTGATAGAATAAGTCCCATGTTTGGTAATATTTTGTATCTTCTTTTCCTTTGATTTTCAATGTTAGTCTGTCCATTTCGGCGCAGTCCAATATCTTTTTAATTATTTCTTGGTCCGTAGGTGTTCCTACATTTTTCCAGTACTGTGCATAAATAATCCTCGCCGCTGTTAGAATATGCAGTATTAAATATACATTTTGTCTGTCAACACTTTCTGGTATTATACCTAACAGAAAGAGCTCTGGCCTAAAATCTACATGCTTTTTGATTATTTTAACAAGCCATGTATGTATTTTTTTCCAAATATTTTTTGCTTTATCACGAGTCCACCAGAGGTGATAATAGGTTCCAGTTTTTTTATGACATTTCCAACATTTACTTGACCTATTAGAATACATCTTAGCCAATCTATCAGAAGGTAAATGCCATCTATAAAACATTTTATATAGATTCTCTTTATAAGATGTTGCCATTGTCATCTTATAGTTAGTAGTGTATTGACTAAATACAGGCCTGTAGGATCCCTTTGAGATAGTCACACCATGCCCTGTCACAGTCACACTCCTTTGTAAGAAAGACAACATTAAATCAGGGGTTCCCACACTTGAGAAACCCAAGGGTTCTTGGACTGCAACTCCCAGAAACCCCGGCCAGCATAGCTGATGGTGAAAGCTTCTGGGAATCGCAGTCCAAGGACACCTGGGATAGCCAAGGTTGGGAATCACTGATTTAAAATATTCTGTCTTCCAAAACATACTGCGGTGACAAACTGGGTTATAGAATGTTAAAGGTTTTTGTTATGTACTATATATCTTTGTAATAACCTATGACAGAACAATGTCGCAGTCACCTTGAAATGAGTTGTAAAACTAACAGTGCAGTTCTGTACTTCTCTGTTTGGAAGTGTATGTCACTGAGTTCAGTAAGGTAGGTAAATAAAGGATGGAGATGTGTGTCTAAATAGATAGTTATAGCAGTGAATTACAACTTTTCACTTGTAAGCTATGTGCATACTGCTGCCCCTTGCGAGGGGAAATGGGGTCTGGAAAAGTTCCTCTATCATAGGTTCCATGGACATAGCAGAGCAAGAATGCTCTTGAACAGCTTTTATTGACTTATACTAAAAATGTGTTGTTTTGAAACTGATGGTGCATTGTGAGTTATTATTAAAAAGATTTTTTTCCCATACCCAAATACATGACAGTCACGTAAAAGGTATTTCAGAAACATAAAAGTTGCTTCTTGGTTTGAGCATTTTCTATTCAAACATGTTTTCACTGAATGCTGTAAGATGCAAGTATAAGTGACAGTATTTTTACTTCGAGAGGTGTTTATTTTTAATTATGCTAGTTTGCACTAGACCTTGTACCTGCACGTGAGGAAGCTTTATTGTTCATAATGTATTGAAAAAGTAAGTGTAACTGTGTAATGCATTGGGCATGCATAACCAGAGATTTTGATTATAGTCCTGGGTAATGAAGGCTTAATTTTGTCAGCAGCTAGTTGTTAGAACAATCAAATGGGGGCTGTCTTTTTCAGAAATACTTGAACTCTAAATGGGAAACTGTGAACGCTACACTGATGTAGACCATTTTTGTTATAATCCACTCTGCTCCACATTTGAGTTCAGAGTAATGTAACATTTTGTTCCTGTTTTTTGTTTGTTCTTAATTTTTTATTATTTATTTATTTTAACTCTCCAGGTTGAACAAGGCAACTTTGTCCTCTTTTGTACTCATGCTGCTGGTTTTCACAGCCACTTTCAAAATTTAGTGCTGACCATTTTGGTAAGCGTGCGAGCACAGCAGACGTCCTTTGCGAAGTAGATTGCTCTTACATTTCTCCCTTCAGCAATGCTGGGGTTAGGGACACTGGACTCCCGTGTAGTTCAAAATCCTTCTATACCTCTCATGCCCCCCAAAACATAACTA